TTCTTTCCGTCTCATACCTTGCTGCATATGTCGAGCTTATCACCCTGCGAAGTTTCAAGACGATAGCGTCCGAAATCTTAACCGTAACAATTACACTTTCCTTCCACAAAAATGTCGTCTCACAGCAGGTTCAGTCAGACAAATGCCATACAGTCTATCCATAACAGATCAGTTTAGGCATTCACCTGCGGTTCCAAAATCACACCACAGACAACAGGAGTCGAAAGGTGTGCAACAGGCCAACCGCGAGGCAAGGGTTGACGCGCTGAGTCGTGCTCATTAACTAATTCCATGGTGCTCCAATCCATTAACCTTTCGCTCACCTTAATGAAGCCCCTAGAACACCAGAAAGAAGGAAACCAGCCATGCCTGGTACTCCACGGAAAACTTCAACGACAAAGTATGGCAGCAACTGAAAAACAATTATATTTAAATACAATGCAAACGGGGTCACAGAATTTATCTGCTATAAGTGAACACGGGCCGCTATGTACGTTATCCTCATGTTAAATATCGCATTAATGTTCTAGTTAAGATCGAACGTGATTAAATATAATTTCATAAAATTCTCACTTATTTCGCTCAATTTCCACTAATTTTTGAAATTTATTATCCAAAGGAAAAGTGCTTCATTAGTGATACTCAACATTTTCACCACAAGGAATCCTCTTTCTCAAGAAGAATCAATGCAAAACCGTGGTGTAGTTCTTTGGGGGCATATCCTGTTGCACAATACGGGTGGATTCACAAAAGTGCGCCTTCAAGAGTTTGGTACGCGTTGGCCAATCACAGTGCGCGTTTGGAAAGGTTCGACAGATTTGCGCGTTGTGATTGGCCAACACGTTGCAAACTCTTGGAGGCGCACTACTCTGAATCACTCGTATTATGGTAATAGTATTTGCATCCTTGTGCATTAATACTGTCCCGTTGTACGGCAGCACCGAATACGGCAGCATTGAAATATCTTGAAAGTATTTCAAACACATCCGTTGGGCATGGTTATACCTCATCCGGCTGCGACAGTATGCCCCTGATGTTTGGGTCGCATCCAGCGTAGTAAGCGTACAGTGTCACTCCCCCTAACACGCACAAAGCTATGAAGATTCCGGAACCAATCATGAAGAAAACGAGAGCTCTGAGGATTCCAAACAAGGCAAGATCCTGATCATTCGAGAATAGAGCACGACCAAGCGAGACTCGGGGCCTATATGTTTTAAGAGGATCCTGATCACGATCAGTAAACCGACGTTGGTTCACTGACAACAAATCTGCCTTAGTGATAGATCGACGCAGCTTTAGGATCACTGCAGCGAGACTCAAGATCCGTATAGAACAAACAGGCACTGCCTATGTGTAACTACGCTGAATTCGAAGTTGGGTAGTCGATCCTCGCACTCTCGCATCGCTCCTCCCAGTGACCTCGGCGAATAGCACTGATCTCCATTATAAAGGCGCTTTATTTGGGGCATGCGTTGTTGAGTTGGGCTTATTGTGAGTTTCAGTATACAATTTTAGGTGGAAGTTAGAAATGTTCCTGTGCAATACCAAATATTAGCTTCTTTCGGGTACAAATCAGCATAAGAAACCGAATGAGAAGATTAAGAGCCAACGATCTCTGTGCAATTACCCCCTCACCGTGCGTTAACGGAGAGACTTGATTGACACTTGATAGATACTGCGCGTGAGTCAGTGCGCAACGCAAAGTGTCAGCCCCACGGACATGCAAAGTAGGCCTAACAAAGTGCTCAGTTTGTTCGTGCACGGATATAAAATTTCAAGTTTGACGATAAATCAAACAATCAATAAGACCAACCTGGACAAAATCAGTTGGTAATAACAGAGTCAAAATATGTTCTTGTGGTAAGCTTTTACGTTTTTGCCACGGCGAGAGTCTTGCAGGCCACATAGCGTTGGATTATGTACTGGTTACAGACTGTCGTAGACAAGTTCCCAAGCTGGCCAATGACGAACCCCCAAATTGTGTAGTATTCCGTCAGGTCCGGGCTAATACTGAAATGAACACACAATAATGGGTTGGGTTGCAACTCACCGAAAACTGCACATAATCATCCCCTATATTGATAAGACCTAATTCAACATGCCAGACATTGTCAAATTGTTGGCTTTTCGCGTCGATATTGAGATTTGGGTTGATTACAGGAACTGATTAATGAGAATTATCATTAGCCTACTTCAGCAACTGTATTCGTCCACCCTCTTGCGCGATTCGCCAGACGTTGCCAATACCACCCATCTCAAGACTTCCTTTAATGATAACGACAACGATGGTAGCAAATATCAGTAGCATTTGAATAGCGTCAGTCCATATCACAGCCTTGATGCCTCCCTGGTACAGGGAAGAAAGCAAAATAGGCGATGGATTACTTCTAAAACTCGTGAATGAAAAAAGACCATTATTATAACAAAAGCACTTGCAAGCTGACGAGGTTAGTGTCCAATGTCTTACTCAAGAGCCCCTCAATGCACAGCTTTGCTGATGACCACTTACAGCATTCCTGCGGTAGAGGTTTCGTTGTCCAACACTACAGATTATTGTTCGAGCCTCGAAACAATTCTTGAAATCATTATGATCTAAAGACAAAAAAACACTACGTTGAGAGCAGTCTTGATGCTTTGATGTGTACGCGGGTTGGACACATTGAGACAGAAATAATTTATGCATAATGGAATACGCGCGAGAACACTCGTAATCGCTGCATCCATTGGCGTTGGCTGTAGCTACTTCCAGTGATTTGAGCACGGCCTGTCTATTATTAAAGAACTATGTTATATCTCGGATTGATGAAGTTCACTTACAATGACAGTGTAAATAGTGCAGATGCCGACTAGGCACAACACAGCAATACCAAAGCTTAGTCCGGTCACTGCAGAAATTTGAAGCAAACAAACGCAAGGGATATTAACTTGAATGAGATTCTTACGCCTAATCGAATATCATCCACCACCAAAAGGTTCAATTAACTCAAATGAAACTAAGAATCATTCAAAGCAATTAATTTTGTCATTATTTCTTTTAACCTTTTTTTATTCCACACACCTGCAGTTGTTGCAGCACAAGCCGTGAAACTTATCAGGCCCATGTAGAGAAGCTGTGTATGAAACACAGACTGTTAAAGTGTATAACTGTAATCAACTTTTCTCAAACACAATTTTCTGCAACTTTGTACCCCTGTTCAATGTATGAAAACTCTTTTTCACTCCTATTTGGCTAAATGCTTTGAAAAGTGCACTTTTTAACGTTTAAAATCATTAATGTTTTTCCTTGACAGCTGAGGGCGCTGTTGCTGGCATATCATCCAGGCAAGGGTTTTCTATTAAAAACGTCACGCCAGAATTTACTTAATGAAACCATGCATACTCAACGCATACTCACTGCTTACTTCTATGCACGTGAACGACAATAAATCAGCAAAGAGAAAATTTAGTCCAGAAAAATCTAACATGATGCAGGACCATTTTTCTGTACGAACCAAAAGGCTTTCTTCCTAGGATGACATCACAATTTTGGCCATAAATATGGAATACTCATTAACATAGAACCTAAAAGGGCAATAAAATATCCTTTGAAACAAGTGAACAAAAGTTGAAAATAAAGTTAACTGAGACACAAAGGCGCATTTTGAAGGTTTGTATCGCAACAAATGTATTGCAGCTACCCCTTAAAACTACCAGGAGGAGGGCAAACTGTTTTCTCGTCGGGACGGATATTTGAAGCTTTCAATTCCAATCCCGGCAACGCGCCCATCGTCTCGTATTAAACAAATCCAAGTAAGTTCCCGATACAGAGACAAAACCTACCGCAAACAATGCGAAGCCAAAAAGTCCACAACAAGCCACCGCCTTGTTGAATCGAGCCTCCAAATACTTCCACAAAAAGAGAATATAATTTAGTATAATTATAGCTTTCAATCTGCCCACATCCCCATATTAAAATCTGAAGTCAAAAGAGTTAGTGGGCCTAACGTGTTGATCATTGTGGAATGTTAACATTTTGCAAAGGTGTTACGAAATACTTTATTAGTGTTGTTATATTTTAACTTGGAATCAGGAAAAATTCTGTTAATTTTTTTTTCTATCTCAAGAGACAAAGGGAAAAGAAGAAACGTGGTCAATAAAGAACTCGAAAAAAGTTAAACAGCACGAAGAAATGACATAAATTGTCTTAAGTTTAAGGAACTGGAGACCCCTACAATTTCAAAGAAAGCCCAGGAAAACCTCATCAAGCATTTCATTTGGGCAGGAATACGTTAATGTTTTGCCGACTATTTACTCATGTAATATACCTGTGTTCATCCATAATTGATCTGATTGCAGGACCTAAAATCCTACTAAACCTAAGATTACCAGCCATGTAATTACCATCATAGCCTACTTTTCAGACTACCGATTAATGTATATAATTATTATCGTTTTCTTTATTATTAATGCACATCACTCTAATGGAACAATTTTACAATTTCAGAAGGCTTTGAGGGGAATTGCAAGAACTCTAACGTTATTACAAGCTGAGGAATGGTACGGTGCGATTTTGTATTCCCGAAAAAATTAATCCAATATTATACAAATAATGAATGTTTATGAGTGCCTTGGTAGGAGTAATTGCATGAGGTGACAGATGAAATGGTCTATTCCAAGAGGGCGACATTCATGATTTGTTTTATGTAACACCTGTAAATCCTCATCATTTCATTTTCTGAGTACAGCTGGATTAATTAACTGATTCAAACTCGAAGTTGTCCTAGTTGTGAATCCGTAAATTTTTCAACAGGATATTCCGAGCTCATTGAATCGTTTGGCAACATTTTATCTATTTCCTTATGTTGGCAGCATCAGCATAACTTACAAAAACAAGTTCTTATAATTATTTCGTAGAACTGTGAACGGCGGATCTTGATCACTCGTTAGTTTGCAATAAAGAAACTTGCACCACTAGAAGCTGCAGTGCAATCGATCTGGCAGTATTTGTTATCCATTTCTAACTCAGAGTTCTTATAAATTTTTGGCA